CCGGCGCCCCCCGGCGAAGTCTGGGAGGGGCGGGGAGGAGGGGGGGGGGAACGGTGGGGACAGCAGCAAAAAACCCATTTGCGCAAGGTGGGGTTACAACATCCCCGCCCGCGGATTTCTCTGGAAGCGGGAGCCTGGCTCGTTCTGGGGCCGAGCGGGATGGGGACAGGGGAAGGACAAGGCGCCCTGCGACGCCGGGGCATGCTGCTCCCATCTCCAAACCCCTCGTTTGCTGAAATCCTCAGCTCCCGCGCACCCCCGCACACCCCCGAGCTGTCAGCGCCTTACATAAGGTTGCGTCTATGCCCGAGATATCATGGGGGAAAGCTTGGAAACAGGAGGCGAAAGGTAACGGGGAAAGCACAGCCCCCCCAGAAGTGTATTTTTAGGCTTCGCGTGATGGCTCTGTTCCCTGGGGAAAACGCTGAGGCTCGAGGCCGCATCCTGCACCCATCTGCCTGGGGGGGGGGGGGGGGGGGGCCAGCACTTCTGGGGAGCCCGGAGCTGCCCCAGAGCATCCCCAAGGAGCCCGGAGCTGCCCCGCAGCATCCCCGGGATGCTGCGCAGTATCCCTGAGGACCCCGGAGCTGCCGAACAGCCACCCCTGTAGAGCCTGGAGCTGCCCCACAGCATCCCTGGGGAGCCTAGGCTGCCCCACAGCCACATCTGGGGAGCTCAGAGCGGCTCCGCAGCATCCCTGGGGAGCCCTGATCTGCCCCACGGCATCCCTGGGGAGCCTGGAGCTGCCCCACAGCACCCCCGGGGAGCCCGGAGCTGCCCCACGGCAGCCCTGGGGAGCCCAGCGCCTGTCCCCAGGGAGCGCGGGCTCAGCCCCACGTCTGCCCTGCAGAGCCCAGCAGAAATGAGCCGTCGCGGGGCCTCTGGTGCTTTGTGGGGGGGCCGCAAGGCAGGGAGTCGGTCTGGGCGCGCTTGGCTGTCGGTCCCCAGGACGTGTCCCTGCACAAGCCTTTCCCGGGGGGCTGCTTTTTTGCCAGTTTTCCACAGGGTTTTCCCCGCGGTGTTGCCGCAGCAGCGCGGGTCATCGGGGTTATTGCCCGGCAAAGCGAGCCAGCCTGGCC